GGGGATGGGCAGATGGGAATCTTATCGCTATCGAGTCGATGCTGGCCCATTGTACCCTATAAGACCCTTGTGAGTTTCTGAGACTAACTAACTCTTCATGGGAGTAGAAAGCCCCATCTTTCTCCCATGGAGCAGCTGGTGGCTTCGAGCTGCTGGCCTTGCCGTTAACAGCCCAACACGTAACCAGTATGCCACCAGAGCTCCTGCAGATGGGAATAAAAATGCCCATCTAGTTAAAATGCCACAACGTTCACTTGTTACCTCTGAAATTCAGACATTTTTGGAGTGCCCGTCTTGAATTTTAATGATTGACTTTTAGATGTACACGTCAACAGTCTCGGCGGTACGGTCCAGGGCGCTGACCGATTGTGTTCTTCCGTTGTTCAGCCTTTCTCACGCCAAGGCTGCTCTGACTGTTGGAACCTGGGGTTAGTTTTCAGAGCTCCGGAAAAGTTGATTGCTTCAATCTGGGGCCAGAGTTTTGGAGCAATTATATTAGCTCCAAGTCTGGGAGCTAGTATTTCTTGACAACTGAAATGCAGGTGACAGGATTTTGTCTTGCTTAATGACCAGTGCAGTTGGGGAGATGAGGGATATTTAGAGGGGGATCTAATATAATAAAGGAATAGAAACTGGGGGTTTCTCATGGTTCTCTCACCCAGGATACGCAAAGAGCCTTGAACACTTGTGGATTTAGTAAACTGTTGATTTTCATCAAATTAACTCATTAGCTCCACTTAAGTTGCTTTAAGATATGTTGAGGTTATATTTTAAGTATAATGTAATAACGGTTAGATGATAGTATATTTCTTTAATATAAATAATGTTAAAATTGGAAGAGGCTGAAACATTCCATACTATTGTTTAACCCCCAAATTAACTGATGCAGTAATATTTGCTGAGAAACTTCTCTGAGGTTTTGCAAACAGTATTAAACGAGGTAAGTCAGCGGTCAGCCAGCAGGTGTCATTCTGCCCTTCCTAATAACGCTCTTCAAGGTAACTGTTCCCCCTCCGCTCCCTTAGTGGACTCAGCATAACTTAGAATGCTGCCGCCATCATTGGCTTACGTGTTTATCTTCACCACTCGGTTTGCTTAATGAAGGTAGGAGTCCTCTTTCATGCATCTCTACGCCCTGTACTCGACACCATGACACCTAACAGAGCAGCAACAACAATGCTGCTGTTCGTATTTTAACAACAACCTACTTAGTCTTGTAATGGACACAGAGACTGTCCTTCACAGACGTTAAGTAGCTAATAAAGGCCAAGCAATAGGCAGGTAGTTTTTAATAACCTTAATATGAAAACCTTAATATTATAATATCAATATTAAAGCAACCTGAGTTTTAAAATAGCAGTAAATTAAGTATTAAGCCCTTTCTCTGTGTCAATTAGGAAGAAATTTTCTTGGGTCATCTGATTTAATCCTTTCGGGAACACTCCCCCGGCCCTGAGGGTAGGTATGTTTATCCCCATTTTACAGATGAGGAAATTGGGCCCAGAATACTTACGTCAGTTGTTCTACAGCTTCTAAATGGTGCAGCTGGGTTTACAACGCAGGTCTGCATGATCCCATCGTCCATGATGTGAATCACTGATACAGTGACTATGGAGGAAACTCACTTCTCTTCAGACGAAACAGACTAATCCAATTCCTGCTAGTTATAGACACTACATCTTAGTGTAAAGTTTTTCATTTATAAACGGCCTCATGCCCTGCCTAGTTACACATTCCCTAGTTATTAAAGCCCAGTCTTCCTGCTGGGACTTAAGAAGGACTGGCATTCTGTCTCCATTGACCTGTGCATACTCTAGAACTTTCCTCTCCTGGATACTTTCTTGTTTGGGAACCACAAGATAATCATTCCTGTTGGTCCCCCCAAATCTGCCATCCTAGTCAATACCAACTCCTAGCAACCCTATAGGAAAGGGTAGAATTATCCCTGTGAATTTCTGAGACTACAGCTCTTTATGGGAGTAGAAAGCCCCAACTTCCTCCCACAGGACAGCTTGTGGTTTTGAACTTCTGACGTTGGAGTTAGCAGCCCAACTCACAACCACTACACCACCAGGGCTTTCAACAAATAAAGTAGAAAAGAGTTGCTCCTTTTCCCACTCTTGAGGATACACATACACACACAGATTTTATATATATCCTTGATGTTATAAGTTACAAGAGGGTCATTTTAGAAAGCAATAGTATATCCTATGGCTAAATGCTGCGTTATTGGGCCAGATCCCACGTTTGTCTCTCCAGATCCACTTTCTCCTCTTCTCTCCCCCGCTCTGAGCATCAACCAGGCCTCCTGTCCTCTGGCTTCCAGTTGGATTTGGTCAGTGAGAGGAACAGTGTCCAATCTTGGTTCTGGTTGTTTTCTGGGCACAGGGGTATCACAGGTAATGTGAAGTAGCCTCTTTCTCACAAGTAAAGCTCTGATCCAGTTCCCAGAAAGGTCTTCAAACTGACCTTTTAGACCCAGGATGCTTCCCTGTCCTTTCTGCCTTTCCCTCATTCTGCCCACACTGGCCAACAGCCCCGTGCTTACACTCTCTTCAGACTCTCCTCTTGAGCTTGTCCTTCTCTTGCTGGAACCCCTACCTGAGCAATGACCGTCAGCATTGTAAATCAGCCAGATGAGGCATTTTTGGCAGTTGGATGGAGATCTTAATTAGCACAGATGATTCTGTAGAAAAACAATTTGCCTTAAAGATTTCTTTTTGGAAGATAGCTCATTTTAAAGTTTGAGATATCTCCTGTCCTGTTCTACAAATTGTATAGCAATTTTGCCACTAAAGGAATGTCACTAGTAAAACCACCAGTTCCTTCCCACCCAAGGTAGGCTCTGAACCCGTGAGAGGTATCAGAATTAAAACCAAAGCTCGTTGTATTTTTACTCTAGTTGTAAACCTACGTGGTTCCCTGTTATCCACAGGTGAAGGTAAAACTTGGTGTTGGGCACCGAGAAGCAACCTGATATGTAGTCATAAAGATGTACACTTTTAGACAGGGAGATCTCAACTTGCTTCAAGTCCTCCTCACTTTCAGAGAGCAAGGTTGTGTCATATGCGTATCACAGGTTGTTCATCAATCTTCCTCCACTCCCAATGTCACACACTCTTCTTCATATAATCCAGCTTCTCTGATGGCGTGCTATGCATACAGATTGATAAGTATGGTGAGTGGATATAGTCATGATGCGTATCTTTCCTGATTTTAAGCCGTGCAGAATTCCCATGTTCTGTCTGTACAACTGCTCTTGATCCATGGACAAGGTCCACCCGAGCATGTGGTACTTTGGAATTCCCATTCTTCTCCAGGCAGCCCCTGGTTTGTTAGGATTCACAGTCCGATGCCTTAGGCAGATGAGAATGCTCGAAAGGGTTCTTGGGGGGAAATTCACTATCTTTCAATTCCATTTTTCTATGATTTTTTTGAACCCACAAATATCTTGTGTCAGGACAATTCCTTAACCTTTCTTCTGCACCTCCGCTTGGTAATTTCTTCATGAGAATGATGCCATCCGCCCCATAGATGGGTAGTGAGGGGTTGGGAGATGTGCATAAGGTTCTAGGACAATGTGTGACTCAAAATAGGCACTCGGTGAAATAAAAGCTCGTTGTTTTTACAGGCATTCTGTTCTGGACACTTTTCTCGTGATTTTCTCTCATGTTTATTTAAATCTGTCGAGATCCCGGATCAGAGCTCCCGCTCTTAAGCTTTAGTATTGTATTTCCGTTTTCTCTTGGGCAGTTTAGCTTGAACTTGAAGGGACCCACAGCAGCACTCAACTCCCCTCCCTCTAGTTTCTCATTCAGCATCCCCTACCTTGATGAAGGCCACACAAGTGATCATGATGCCCAAGCCGGAGAACAACGTCAGTGTAGATGCCTCTCTCTCCCTTGCCATCTGTATCCAACCAGTCCTGTTACACTAGCTTCATGAATTTCCCTTCCCTTTATTTAGATTAGAACAAATTACGGTGCCACTGCACAGAATGGGCATTCTGGAGTATTTAGTTACCCCAGAGGAAATGGAAATACGACACTGAAGCTGGAGAGAGAGCTCTGATCAAGGGCATCTGTAGATTTTGTAAATGATGGGGAGTGGTCTTTGTGCTTCCTTAAAATGATTTGCAGCTTAAGTGTCAATGTTTTAGGAGAATTGCTACTAATTGCTATTTTTGGACACTCAGATTTGGTTCAGCTTGATCCCACTTGAAAGTAAAATGGGAAAAAGGATTCTGAAAGAAAGGAAAGCGAAATGAGAAAGCAGCATTGTTGCTCTGGGTCAGTCGATTCTTTGTCGGAGTTCTTTAAAAGTTTACACATAAGATATCCTAGTATAGGACTTAGGAAGGGTTTGATTCGCCTATTAGTAACTGTTCATCAGATGTGCTACTGACGGAGTAACTTGTGCCGCTTAGTGAGCAGCCTCGATGCTTAGCAGCCTCGATGATGGAGTGAAAGTGCCCCCTAGGGCTTCCTGGGCTAAAATAGTCCCGGGAGCCAGTTCCCAGGTCTTTTCTCCAGCGTTGTGATGTGTCTACTCTCACTCTTTTGTGTAGCAAGATGAAGCATTGCCCAGCCCTGTACCATTTTCACAATCTTTGATATGTTCTGAGCCCGTTGTCAAGCCTGTTGTGTCTAAAAGTAAATTTATATTAAATCAAGTGATTTAAAATGGACCTCACAGCCATCGAAGCAGTTTGGGCTTAAAGCGACCCCATAGGACAGATTAGAATTGCCCCCGTGGGTTCCAAGGCTAGAACTCTGAAGGGAATAGGAAGCCTCCTCCTTCTCCCGTGGATCATTAAAGTCTGATCTTCATATTTGACCCTGTGCCTGCTATTGAATGCTATAAAAGCTTTATGTGCCGTTATGTTAAGACTGATTGTCTGCTTGCTTGTTTGCCTGCCTTGCAGCCTTGCTTTGCATCCTGAACGAGTGCTGGTGGCAACAGGACAAGTTGGGAAGGAGCCTTACATCTGCGTCTGGGATTCTTACACCGTGCAGACTCTGTCCGTGCTGAAGGATGGCCACACACATGGGATAGCTTGCTTAGCATTCGACGTAGATGGGCTGGTATGTGGTCATTTTCTTTGAAAAATGGGTGCTATAGAAAACTATTATAAATCTCTGAGTATTCAATGAGTAAGCAGCTAATGAAAAGTACTTGCTTGTCCAATAATGGGGATGGGTGGACAGTTTGGTGGTTGATGGATGAGTGGTAAAAATTGAAGATTTGTATTTTATTGTATCAAGAACTTTCTCAATTGAATTCATTACTACCATGAAAACTTTTTTAAAAATTAGTTGAGTGGAAAACTTGCTTGTTTAAAAAATATATATTATTCCATACTACTCTTTTCCAGGTGTGAGAATATAGGATCAATGGAAGACATCTTTAGGAAATTGTTTTTCTATGTAGAGACCTGTGTTACTGTGTCAATCCATCTTGACGTGGGGCTTCCTCTTTTTCTCTGCCCCTCTATTTTACCAGGAATGCTGCCCTGCTCAGGGACTGATCTCTCCTGAACACAGGTTCACAGTACACAATTGTCAGTTATTTAAAAGGTTATTTATCAAAAGTAACATTTTCTAATAACTAGGAGCCAGTTTCTGTCATATGAGCTGTTTTTGCACAAAAATTAAAGAACAAAATGGAAGACATAATCACAAACTACTCGTCAGCCCCACAGTTTTGTCCACTTCTACTCAAGTGTTTAAAATGTAGTAAACAAACCAAAAGCCTTTTCTTGGTAGTGTTTTTATGAAACTCTTCTACCCAAAACATACTTAAAATGTGGTCATAGGAAAGTGTGTTTTTTTGCAGCTGGGGTTAGCTGACAGTTATTTCTAATGTCTTACATTAAAAAGTCATTAAAATTATTTTAACTTTAAGGAAATGGTTAGTTATCTTTTCAGTCCATAAAACTGGTAGCTGTAGATTTCACGGAACTAGATTGCAGCGTCCTAGCCCTTTAAAAAATGATAGCCAGTAGATGTTCTGTATATAAGTCTGGGGACCAGCTTCTTTGAATACCATTGTCTCCTAGGACTGTCTCAGAAGAGAGCCTGGTAAGAATTCCATAAAGACTTCACTTGTGACTCCTGTGGGGGGAGAGTGTACTACTACATTTGCTATCCCCGTATAAGCTGTGATTGGCAATTACAGAACCTTGGTCAGGCTTGCTAGTATCTTTAGTGCCTTCATTTCCTCAGATCCGCATTTCTTTCCGCTTCCTCTCTGAAGGAAAGGAAAGGGAGTGATACTTAACTGGGAGTAACTTGATGGCAACTCCTACTGGTTGGCCTAGAAAGAAATTTTCAAGCTTTTAAAAAAATCACTTAGGAAATGAGGTAGTTCGTTTATTGTGCCAACCTGGCCAATAAACACATGTGGGGTTAATTGAAGGGCTGAGGGATAAATGGCTCAGTGAGCCTCGCCTTTCTAGTTCTCGGGTCTCTTGCTTTGTGATGGATAGACCAGGGTGTAGCTGCCTTAGCCAGTTCCCTGCTTCACCTGGCAAGGCTCACTTCCTGCAAGACATCCCTGAGGAGAAGCCACATGGACCTACCCCGATGCAGCCCTGGGTGCTGGAGCAGCCATGTGGAGACCATGCCAGCGCTGAGATGCTTACGTGCTCACTGATTCGGCTTTCCTCCTGCAGCCGGCATCATTGTGTGTATATTGAGATGGAGGAGGACTTTGTGGACTGGTGTTGGGTATGGGTTAATGTTGGACTTGTGGGCTTGGGCAGCACTGGGTTGAACATTTTCTTGATGTGTACTTACCCTTTTTGTAAAACTCTCTCTTATACATCAGTTTCTGTGGACTTATTTCTCTAAAGTACCCAGACTAACACAGGAAAGGTGTAAATGTCACACTGTTTGACACTCAATGACTCCATACTTTAAATAGATGCTTTCCTCTCAACCCTGCTGTTGAGGGTGCCTCCCAGTGTCACCGAGAAATCGTGACCTTAGTTTTTAACTGTTAGAAACCATAATTTAGCTTAGGTGGAGCCACCCGTGAGAAAAGTTTGGGGTACATGCATCTCGCCAAGACAGAGGGGAGGCACTTAAAAGTTTTAGCTCATAAAATCCATGTCATAAAAGAGGGTCATTATTTGATGATGCTGTTGCTGTTTGGTGCCATCAAGTTGGTTCCAACCACCAGAGACCCGGTGTACAACAGAAGGACCCCATCCTCAAGTGTTTCTATGTTTGTGTCCATTGTTGCAGCTACTGTGGCAATCCATCTTCTGTGGGGCTTCCTCTTTCTCTGCCCCTCTGCCTTACCAAGAGTGCTGCCCTGCTCAGGGACTGATCGCTCCTGACCACAGGTTCACAGTACACAAGACCCAGCCTCACCATCCATCTTTGCCTCTACGGAGCGTTCTGGTCGTACTTGCTCATATTATAGACACGGTTATCATCTGCAAATAAAGAAACAGGTTAAATCTCCTATCCCAGGTTATACAGCTAGTAAATGGACCCAGAGCAGAAAGCAGGTTAGTCCCTCTCCCAAGCTAAGCTCCAGTTCTTAATATACTACTCCACTGCCTCTCAAATGTTATTTGTGTTGTAAAAGGAATTCACCCATTTCAAAAACAGTTCATGCTAAAACCACCAAATTGAAGAGATTAAGAAAATTGTTTCTTAAATTATGTTAAAAAGAAAAAAACCCCAACAATAAAGAAACACGTTTTACCTTACAAAATACGCCCAAGGAAACCCATCTATCAATATTATGGTCTAGTAGGCTATGCGTTGAGCTGTAAAGCAAAAAGAGGTTCAAACCCATCTTAAAAGCAGGGTTAGGGAACCTTATTTCTGCCATAAGTCACCATCTGGATATTGATGACATCATTCGCGAGCCAACGCCTCATTAACTCACCCTCATGTGATGTCCGGAGCCCTGGTGGTGTGGTGCTTATGCATTCTGTTGCGATGCACAAGGTCCCCATTCAAAACCACCACTGGCTCCGAAGTAGAAAATCACACTTTTTGTTCCCTTAAAGAGTTACAGCCTCTGAAACCCACAGGGGCAGTTTTACCCTGGCCTATAGCAGCGGTTCTCAACTTGTGGGTCGCGACCCTTTTGTGGATTGAA